TAGCTTGTTCTGTGTGTGGAAAAGGCTCTCTAGGGAAAGAAATAAAAAAAAAAAAAAAAAAAAAAAAAATCAGTCCTCATCCTTAAGCAGAGTTCTAAAGGGAGCAAAGGTCAAACACTGCAGAGTGTCCCAGGAGCAGCTTAAGGTCTTGTTGTAGCTATGCAAGTCTTTCAAAGTCCACTATAGATTTTCAGTAGCCAGCCTGATTTCTATTAGACACTTCCAAAAGCCAATTGAAATACTTGAGTTTTAATGGGATTGCTATATAAATATATGCTTGGTTGTACTTCATTAAGAAAGGGAGCAAAGGTCAAACACTGCAGAGTGTCCCAGGAGCAGCTTAAGGTCTTGTTGTAGCTATGCAAGTCTTTCAAAGTCCACTATAGATTTTCAGTAGCCAGCCTGATTTCTATTAGACACTTCCAAAAGCCAATTGAAATACTTGAGTTTTAATGGGATTGCTATATAAATATATGCTTGGTTGTACTTCATTAAGGGCTGGTAATACTGAGAAAAGTCTAATTATACCAAAAAAATGCACATGCACAGATGTCACACTCTTTTTGATGAATCCAGCAGCAGGCCATAGACACTGGGGTGGGGGTCTGGCCTATAGCTTCCACCCTGGCTGGAATCCCCACTGCCCCATCTGTCTTGAGCCTTTCATTAAAGGCTTCCTCCTGACTAGCATTATGACCACACCAGAAAGGCCCCACTTGCAACCTGGGTTTGAGGTTGTACATCTCCTTGACTTGGGTCAAACACTGTGTTTACTCCTGAAATCTTCAGTGGTTTAAAGCCAACCCCCAGAAGACTTCTGCTTTAAAAATGAGAACCAGAGATGAGACGGGCACACTGATCACTCTGTGCCCACATGTGAAGCCAGGGGCTTAAATGGCTACAGTTATGTCAGCAGACTGGAGATGTCTAGACTCTAGGTAAGCTACCACTTCCTCTACCTCAGCTGTAGCCTCATCCCCACCAAGTGTATCTTATTTAGGAAGCTGGTGGTTCAGTCATTTTTACCCTAAAGTCGAATTCCACTTGCAGATCTGCAACTCTGGCTACCTTGAAGCTGTGCTATCATCCCAACTGCCACATTATGTCAACATCATAATTACCTGAACAAATAGCCTAACTCTTAAGTTTAATTTTTAAGAGCGGGCCTGAACTCAGAGGACACTCATTCCCCTAGAGATCTCTTAGAACCATCTGTCTCCTGGAACTGTGCTGACAGAACTGTTTTGCTGGAACCCCATCCCAGGAACTGTGTCCTCAAGCCCTGCCCCTCCCATGATTTTATTCAAATGATTTCTGCAGCTTCAGTTGGGGAAGTACAAATTTGACTCCACCTTAATCTTAACAGGCCATCTGGCCATTTTATCCCTAATTCTAGAAAATCTCCTTACCCAAGGTCATGTGACCTTCCCAATCTTCACTCTGTGCAATGGAGATGGGTGTGCTGCCTTTCGGCACTTTGATATGTTAATTTTCAAGCATTCATTATCTTTTTGAATGCAGTGCCAAATTGAGGTTCCCAGGAAATAAAGGTTAGGTGTCCAGGTCACAAGGCACTAGAACTCATGGTTTTACTGGGGTTGATTAGTCCAGATTATGTTCATTTTTAAAAGTCATTCCCACACCCAACAAAGTCATAGTTCCCCATCCCTCACCCCCACCCAGGAGGCCTGAGACTGGAGGAAATGGTGAAAGTGGACACAGATCTTTCAAAGATCCCTGGTTCTCCTCCTGCTAAGTGACCTCTATGAAAAAAAAAAAAAATCTTGGTTGGGGTTGGAGAGATGGCTCAGCAGTTAAAAACACTGACTGTTCTTGCAGAAGACCCGGGTTTGAATCTCAGCACCCACATGGCAGCTAACAACTCTCTGTAACTCCAGTTCCAGGGGCTCCAATAGCCTCTTCTGTCCTCCATGGGTTGTACAACACAGGTGTGCTTACCTACATGCAGGCAATACACACATACACATAAAATAAAATTTTTTAAAAATCTTCTTGGTTATCACACCAGCATTTCTGAATTCTAAGCTTAGAGAGCAGGGGCCTCTAAGATGATATCTCCTATTCAATGTCACCACTTATTCTCAGTCTTCTGTGTCCCAATGGATCTGCATCCATCTGAAGTCACCTTCTAATATTTGCTTTCTTTTCATACTGTATGTATATGTATGTATACACATAGATTTAATATAGAGTCATTCCCCAGTGTTTATGGGGACTTGATCCCAGGCCCTCCCTAGGATACCCAAATCTAAAGATGCTCAAGACCCTTCTATAAAATTCTGTAGCGTTTGCCACTCTGTATCTATGTTATCCTCCCTGTATCTTAAATCTCATCTAGGTAAGGCACCATGCAGACAGTTGTCACACTCCATTGTTTAAGGAATAATGATAAGAAAAGAGTCCACACATGATTAATACAGATACAGAATTTTCCCCAAGTATTTTCAGTCCTCACTTGGTTGAATCCATGGATTGGGGGTCCATAGATATAGAAAGTCAGAGATGGAGGAAAGAAAAAAAAATCAGTTTCTGAAGCCATTCTGAAACTGCTCATGGAATATGCTTTTAGAGGCTGCCTTGTCTGAGTTCAGTGATATGAAACAGTTCTATGGTATTGGTTTTGGCTTACACACATGCAATTTGATAGTTTAAATACTACATGCAATACTAAAATGTCCCTAATTACTTCCACCTTACCACCTTTGTCCCCAGCTAATCATTTCACAGTCTTAATCTCTTCATATATTCATAGAAACAATGGAACATTATATAGAAGGTATCACGTTCTACATGTTGTTCTTCAAGTTTGTTTTTTCAACTATCCATGTTCATACTGGCTCATTCCTTTTGTATTCCATGCTATGAAAATATCTTGATCCATTTAGCTATCCCCCTGTCCTAGTTACTTTCTATTGCTGTAATAAAGACACTGACCAAAACCAGCTTGGGAAGTAAAGGATTTATTTTACATCTCCCAGGTTACAGTTCATCACTGAAGGAAGTCAGGACTGGAACTCAGGGCAGGAATGTGGAGGCAGGCACTAAAGCTCAGACCATGGAGAAGTGCTCCTTACTGGCTGGCTCCTCTGACCTGTGCTCAGCCTGCTTTCTTTACACAACCGGGGACCACCAGCCCAGTGGTGATACCACCCACAGTATGCTGGACCCTCCCACATCACTCAGTAATCAGGAAAATGCCCCACAGACATGGCCACAGGCCAATCCAATGGAGAAAATTCTTTGGTTGAGGTTCCCTCTATCAGGTATGTCAAGTTGATAACTGAAGCTGTCCAGAACACCCTGTGAATTCAGATTGTCTCCCATTTTTTCATCACCATATTGCTAATCTAAAGAGCAGTCTTGCACAAGTTTCCTTGAGTCTCATATGCAAGACTTTCCCTAGAAAAATAATTTCTGGGTAACAGCTTTCATTTATAGTTTAATACATATTGCCCAGTTGTCCCCTGAAATACCAACTATAGCTCTCTCAGTAGGCTAAGAATCCCTCTCCTCCCGCTGTTGCCAGATTGTCCTCTTGTTTATTTGTATTCCTTACTTCATGAGACTGCATAGTTCATGCATTTGATGATCTTTCTGTATTTTCTTTCATGGCTTGCCCCCCACATCTTTGGCCATTGATCTATTGAAGTGCTTGTTTTCTTGTTGTTCCATAGGAGTTTGTCTTATGTTATGAATACTAATCCCTTGTCTCTGTGGTCTTAAATCTATTTTCACAGTTGCTTATTTTAGATCTAGAGTTCCTTGTTCAAAAATTTGTGAATACAATATATCAGAATGATTGCTCTTTCCTGTCGCTGCTTTTTCTTTTGGTGGTTTTTTTTTTTTTTTTTTTTTTTTTTTTTTTCCTTTTATTTTTTTTTTAGTGCCTATCTACCCCCAGAAACTTGATTCCAATATGCTATATTTTATTTTAGCTTATCACAAGATTTTTCTTTAGTCTGCGGTTTCATTTCTGAACTCCTTGCTCTGTTCCAATGATCTACTTGCTTTTCCTGTTTCATTATTACTCTATTTGATTGCAAAGCGGCTTCTTTAGTCGCTGTCCACACCAAAGAGTATCACACTGTGGGAAAGGCAAGACATCAGGTGTCCTTTTCATCTTTGTTCTTCAGATCGAGACCTCAAGGGAATCATTGACATCGAGAGAGGCTTGTCTATGTCAGAGAGAGGGAACTCACAAGTTGCCGAACATCTGGAATCTAACCTCTCCTGATCTCAGTTTAGCTTTCATGGGAAAAGCACCCCATCAACAGGGACAGTGAAC